CTGTCTGTGACATCACATCTGGTGACCTTTGCACAAACTGAAATATTGCTGTCAGAATTTACGATCTTTATGTTCGTTTTTCTCTCGTCATATTAAACGGAAAATGACAAATGAAATAATCTTTGATTGAGAAGATCGTCAACTTTCCCCAAGGCATATACATGAAGACAGTGTAAACTTTGTTGATATTAAAATAGCAATAAGTTATGCCGAGGTCGGGCGAAGCGCGCCATGTTTGATGTTCGAACGTCTGCTAGCATCATGACACGGTACTTGTATTTTCGTATATCGTAAATATTCAACCAAAACACTTGAAATAAGGATTGGTGAATATTAATGAGTCATTTATTGTTTCCTGCAAATTTGATAACGTGACATGTTAGATTAACTCGAATGTTCGTATTTCTGCAACTGACATGGTGACCTCGAAAATTTAGTTTTTTTTCTGTTTAATGTTTTGATAATAAATTTACAGAAATGGTTCATAATTTACCATCGCGCTGTTATTTACCAATAAGAAACATCGAATTTATACTCAGTTAAAATAAAGATATCAGAGATCTGATTATTGAAATCAATTTGCACAAATTTAAAGGGGCACTGATCTAACGCAATTCCCCGGGACTGGTTGTTGCCTTTGTTATTGTTTTTTCCCAGTGAGTACCCGGATGTATAGCAGAAATCTAGACTAGTTCGCGACCTCTGCTGCGCCATTTGTAAGTGCATTAGTCACTTTTATGGGTAGTAATAAGGGCGTATGGTCACATTGATCAACAAAATGAAATACAGTTTTTGAGATAATAAGGAAATGTAGGTATCTTTGTGGGTAGCATCGGTAATGGTGACGAAGTTTTGATAAGTCACTTGCTTGGTAATTTTGCGATTTTCGTTTACACTATTTTGACTTGCAACACAAAGTAAATATTTTACCTGAGCATTGCTTTTTTTATAGTGTGTATATTGTTTTACTGTCAAATGTGTAACAAATTAATTAAACGTCTAAATATTCAGTTATTTTACAAAGTGACTGAAAAACATTTCCATCTGTATTATTATGATAACGAATTCCAAACATTTTGATGTTTAATGTCATCACCAAGAGACTGAAAATGTTACGTTGAAAAGTACATTTCTATGTTGTTTGGCTTCTAATCCTACATAATAATCTGTTGTGATGTTTGTAGGCCCTTTTGATCGTCTTAATCAATCTGGACAGATTTTTTAGAGAGAATCACATTTTACAAATTGAAGGTAATATATACACGCTTACAAAGGAAAAGACCTGTGAAAACAACGTCTATCGCGCATTGAAGAATTTCCCAACCAAGACGTAGAGAAACAAGAACGAATCGGTTCAAATGAAGGAAAACAAAATGCAAATATCATAATTACAACCTACCAAATTTATGGGTATAAATTTTAGGCAGCTTCCTTGTTCGAGGAATGTATCCGTGAATATCCACACAAAGGAACAATATCCCACTCGTCTGCAGCTGTACAAACAAACTTATTCAATGTCACGTGTCTCAGTAACAATCAAATATTTTAAAAGATATATATCGTTTCGGGATATTATAACCCGCGTTCGTTTCTCAACTGATCACTTGGATTGTTTCAGGTGTTTTACATAGGTGTCAAGTCTCAATGGTCGGCTGAGAAAGCCCACATGACAACTATTTTCATTACGTCCACGGTTCCTAAAAAATCCATTGAGTGATAGATAACAATGATCAATCAATCAACGTATTATCAGTTAACCCTTTGAACAAAGTATGTTGTTTTTACATCGGCACTTCACGCCATGATATGAGTGTAATTATTCCTTTTGGTTTAGTAAACCTAGACATGTAAACACTCGCTCTTGACATATCCTCTGTGCAAGATAACAGTGATTAATCAATCAACGTATTTTCTGTTAATCCTTTGATGACTAGGAACGATCCGTTGATTTACAAAAAAAAGTAAATCAACTGATCATTCATCTCTTGCTGGGCTGCCACGTGCATATTACATAACAAACATTTCACCTCACTTCAAACCTGGATTTAGATTGAATAATTACCCCAGACACAATAAATGCCAAATGAGAACCTTTGTCAGGTAATCTAAGTGGCGCTACCACTAATTGTACCTGTAATAAATTCATTAACTGAGCATCAAGTGAATGACGACAAATACACAAGTGTAGGGTTATACGAGAAAACGTGGATGACAACAAGGGAGTAGTAATCGTATTATCGACGCAAGCCGAAATCCGAAAATGCTTTCACTGCATGGATACTTTTTTAGTATAAACTATAACCATCTGAGGTATTTCCAAATGACGACATCCGATGAGCTCCGCTGTTCTTTTTGTCTGTTTGTTTAGGCTGAAGAAATTAATTAACATGCGCCCTTTGTCGAAATCTTTATAGATCACAGTTAACCAATCAGTGTTTATGCAAAAATGCGTAAAACAAACATTGCCTCCAGCCTCCAAGTTTATTTAGCTGTCATTGCAGACGGTAGCCCAGTCTCTGGTCACGCTCAGTTGCGTTGCGTATCATCCGGGTACTCACGGGGAAAAAAAAAAATAACAAAGGCAACAACCAGTCCGGGGAATTGCGTTAGATCAGTGCCCCTTTAACGATTTAAAAAGGTTCCTAACATGAAACGTAAACCACCTTCAATAACGTAATTCAGGCAAGATCACGAACATTATAAAATTTTGTGTTCGTTTTGGTCTTAACCTTGGTATGATTGAAAACATCAGGATTTTTTTACATAGTAATGTGTATTTTTCCAGAGACCATATAATAGATCAGTAATGTATCAGTTACATGCCAGACCGTAGCACTGATGGTTTATGATAAACTGTTGGTGAAGGCCTTCCCTCTATTATATAGTCTCTGATTTTTCTATCAGGAATAAATGTTCAAAATATTTCTTTAATTGGCCCTTGTATAATGAAGCACCAACTGTTTGAAATCACCCACCCTCTTTACAGCGCCTTATGCTAAAATTAATCCAGCAGGCAGGGCTAAGAAGTGTGAAAACAATTCAGCAGGCTAAAGGTTAAATAGCTTCACATTCAGTTGATGGTAACTGATTTTTTCAACAGTGTTTCTTCGCAGTTTCCTGGACATACTTATTACTGTTACTAGAACAAAATATGTCTCTCATCCGCTCAAATCTACATTTATGTTTGTTTCATTTTTATAAATTGCTTGAAATACTGTGAAGTTATTTCCCCGTTTAGGGTTTTTGTAGTTTTCTCTCTAATCAAATGAACAACTGTAAAATATCTCATTCACTTATTAAAGACAACTTTCTCTTAAAAACAAGCCATCATCTGAGTATCATAAAAGTCTGTGTGATGCTGCCTCCGTTACAGGGTGAGTAATCGCAATAAACATGACCATAATCGCGATAAACGTAACCATTTAAAAAACGTATGATGTCCGAAAACCTATGACGATGATGTACATATACATGTAATGTAATTAGGTTTTCATAATTTGTCATCACATATTAACAAATCATAGCCTTGGTCTCACATTAGTTTGGTTACAAGACCGGCTTTGTAATGAACTCTCATCAATCAATAATGTGAGTATGCAAGGTTACATAAATCACATTCCACTTAAATAATTACGTTCCATTCGCCACCATCATTATGTAATGTGTTGATCATCAGCAATGAATATCTGTTGTGCGCTCTTTCCTAGAACGCGGGGTCGGGATCTTGGACCCTGATATATTGAGGAATCACTAATATATATATATCTGGTGTACTAGGGTGGTCCGTTCAGGCTTACCTTCGTGTAAGTGTCGCCTGATTTTGGTTCTTTCCCGTGCTTCGTGCGTGTGTTGTTCTATGCACCATTTTGTTTTGCCACATTGTCATGTTTCAGTATGCCTATCTTAGCTCTTGTTCATATACATTTCTGTTCTAGGACTTAACTAAGTGCCAGATTGGATGGGGGACTGGTTGACTTCGGTTGCTTTCTCCCTGGTTCTGGATGTTGATAAAAGGGACACAATTTGGTTCTCCCCTACATCCATCCCATGGATGCCATGCTCACAGATTCCATATTGGCTTTGGATGACGAATTCTCCAAACTTTCACTCACTCCAGCTTTTAAGGTGCCTTGTTACAGAAAGCTTTTCCCATACATGCTTTCGAGACCGCGATTTGCCTTTGTTGAGACTGAGATTCGGCAGTCGCTCAAGCCTTTATCTGCATTGACCTCTTCAGCAAGAGCCATTGATCAGGATCACTTACATACTACGATGTCATTTCAACAACCTCAATCGACAATCTATGTAATCCTCTCCAGGTGGCCTTGACAGAGATCACCACCAGGCGCCTCGGTTATCTTGCTATAATGGATTGGAATTCTTAAAGTTCAAGGGGCAACTCCTACATGAGCCTTGGTTTGCATCCTCGCTCTTCAATGGTGCTATCTCTAAAACACATGTCTCCAGCTCTGCCTGTGATGAAATGGCACTTAAAGCACTTGAGCACATCTCTATCAATCCAAATCTAAACCATCTAAAACCTCTTCCTTTTGTGGCAAAAGTAAAGACCGTACAAAGCCACAAGGTATTTACCAACCTCGCCGTCGCTTGGGATCTCCCACCCGAGTCGTCCCAGTCATAGACACACCTGTAGGTTTGGAGATTGGGCAGGTTTGGGGCCAGTTGGACAATTCTTCAATATCCTTTTTATCACCAACTTCCTTCGTCAGGGGTACCTCCCTCATAGCAGACCCAACATTAACCTCTTATCCAATGGCAGATGCCCAGCTCCTCGTCAGGCTCAGCTCTTGCTCAAGACCATTCCCCTTCTGGTGCACAAGCAGGCAGTCGAGACTGTTTTCCGATCCAGTGGCGCATCCAGGCTACCGGTAGAGCAGGACATGCTTACCCTTTTTGCGAACATCTTGTGTCATCACTTATTTTCAGTGGTCTGTTCATATAATTTCCACAGCTTTTTGCCCTTTACGCCAAGTGGAATCTGTTTCTGCAGAAATTCTAGGCTGGTGATTCTCTTGCATTGACAATTTATATTCTACTCTCCAGTGTTACTGGTGCCCAAGAAGGATTCATCCAAATTCCTAATGATCCACAATCTCGCCTTCTTCAACGGGCATTACCTGGAACATCCTCATTACTTTCAACTGACTGCTCATGACCAAATTCAATGCCAACGATTTCCAGATCAGTCTCAACCTCAAAGACGCTTATCTTACCAGGGTTCTGCAGAAGATCAAAAACACACCAAATCTATCATTGATTTTGATTGCGCCTTGGTGGCCAGCACGAAATTGTTTCGTGGATCTCCGAGACCTTGCCAGTCACGACCCTCTCGAGCTAACCCAGTTGGCCACTTCTACTGGTGCATTCCCAGTCAGTTGCCGCACCCAGCTCCAGACATGTTTTGTCCTCACACTTGGTACATCTCCACTGGGCCCTAGGTGCCAAAGGCAACTCAGCCAGAACGGTGAAGGCTATTGCCTTAGCAATTTGATCTTCGACACATACTCTGTATGATGACAAGTGGTGTTCTTTTGAATCCTTCTGTAAAAAGACACAGAACCATATGTCGGCGTCACTGCAATTTATGGCCGAATTCTATCTCCGCAACAAACGTCACCTCAAGGGTAGTACCATAACATCTCTGGTTGCCCTCAATTCTGTGCTGGCAGTTCCTACAGATGGCAGAAAGACCAAGATCCTGGAATTTCATTCACTATTGTGGTTGTTTTTTCTGGAGGATCAACGTGCCAAGTTTTGTCCCCCAGCCTGGGATTTCAACATGGTATTGAAGTCGCTCCATACCGCTCCCTTTGAATCACTCAATTGTTCATTTTTCTTCAATGTTACCAAAAAGGCATGAGCTTGGCTTCAGATACGGCGGCTCAAGTCAGCGAGTTACATGCCCTTGACATTTCCTTAGTATGGTTCGAGTGCAGAGCTCATGGTCCTGTCCATCTTGGGCTGTGCTGAGATTTCATTGCTAAGAATCAACACCCAGGACAGCCGGACAGATCTTTCACCGTTCCTCCCTTATCATCGATAGTGGGTTCCGAGGAAGAGGGTGAACTACTTCTGTGCCCAGTTTGAGCCTCAAGGGTTTTTTCGTCCGTCGATCCAAGACAACGTGAATCTTGAAAATGACTGTTCATTCAGGTCTTGCCTCCATCCCATATGGAAGTTAGTTGTAACACTATTTCATTGTGGTTGCGCTCCATTATCCTGCAGGCTTACGATCTAGCCGGTATAGACACGTTTGGAGCCAACAACCCCCGTTGGATTCGAGCCCTTGCTTCTGTGGGAGGGTGTATGCCACACAACTGGTTGGTACAACAATTTCTGTAGCCAGGACCTCACATCTCCATCTTCCTTGTCAAGAACAGCAGTAAAAGCATTAAGGTAGTAATGCAGGATAAGTATCTTAATGTAAACAGTATTTACATTTTACTCAAATGAACACATGAATGAAACACACGTCGAATTAAAAAATTATGTATATATAAAGGCAGTGTGATTTGTATGTTTAGGTGGATCGATGTTCATGATGTCAATCACTGGATTGTCTCGTCCAGACTTGATTATTTACATACAGCCATCATATAGCTGGAGTATTGCTGAGGGCGGTGTTAAACAACAAACAATTAAACACCCAAACTTGGAGTTTGCACGGGTAGCATCTTGGGACCACACTGAAGGTGACAAACAAAAATGAAAATGTTATTTTCTATAATGATGTTCTCATTGTTTGTGTGCTTGTGAATGTTATATAAATAATCATTAAGCAATATAAGTACAGTTCTGGACATTCGATGTATGGTGAATGTATAAATTAAAGTTACTAACAACTTTATCTAATGTATTCTGTATGTAAAGAGAACAGATAAAACAAACAAACAACATAAAATAGAATTAATAGATGCATAAATTGGTGACAGATGTATTATAAATTAAAAAGGTAAGTGTACCCGCAAAAATCACTTTCGTATTTGAAACAAAACACAATTTTAGAATTAGTTAATATCAATGTTTGGAAATATATGCTCATTTTTCTCACAGTGAAAGTAGGAAGCTCACAATAAGTGTGAAAATGTTATGCTGTTATGAGGCCTTCGTTTTCAGAGCTAAACAGGCCTGTTATCCCCCTTAGATTGTGCCATAATTGGTGCCAATTTGGCTGGGATCCTGTCTAGTCTCAACGCAAATGATATTAAGTACCAGTTTATGGTGAGACATGGCATCCGATACATTGTCAGATTCCGAAGATCGAAGTTCCCTTCACCCATCAAAAAATCATAAAACCATACACTTATGAACCAAGACAAGGCAGTTTCGCGGTATTGAAACATTGAACGTGAAGTGGAAACAAGAGAAGACCCACATAACCAGTTTTGTCACCCGACTCGACATCTCCACAATCACCAGTAACACCGTGGTAAGAATAACACTTCGATATGTGTGTACCTATATGCTCATTATTATATTTTCAGAAGCGAAAACGTAATATTCTAAGAGAAATTTGTCACGCCTGGTAGCCTGCATGCTTCGTTAGCTGGCCTCATTACCCTGCCCCACCCTGTTACGAACCCTTTCGCCGGTATCGGCAGTGTCGTCAATCTAAGCTTGCTCTATCATATATTAGGTATAACTATGGCAACCACCTTTAGGCTACAATTCAAGGCTACTTGGCAATGTCAAGAAACAAATACGTTGTGACACCAAGATTAGACATGCATTGCCAGCTGATTGCAAGAGCTTTGAGTGACACGAAAATGGAGTACGTACCAGTATGTTTCTAAAGTCGATTGACCAGTGGAAACATACAGGGAAAAAGAGATTCTTTTTGATTTGACTTATATTTAATAGTCCTATATCACTGGTTATTGGTTTGTTCTGAGAACCATTCAAAGAAAATGCAATGCAGCTTGGCAGAGAAACTATTAGCAATCCAGCATTCGGCCAGACTTTTACAAAATGTTTGCAATGTTTACAAACTTTAAAAAATAGAAATGTTAAGAACATTGGGTTGTTTAATTGAGTTGACCAGCAATATGTAAAATGTTCACAAAAGCTCATTTACTGTCACTATCTAACATACTAGTGGTGAACTGGTGCCTTTTGATAGTTTGGGATTTAATTTTTTTTTATTTTTCGAGTTTCCATTTCAATGACTGATTTAGACTGAAAATGGGGGTAGTCCTCATTTCTGGAGCAGATCTTGAAAACCTTTCCATGTTTCTTCACCAAACTTGGCACATAATATCATCTCGCAGTATTGAATACATTTCCTTTCTTGTTGGTAAGTTCTGCATTGCTTGTGTGAATGTTCCTCCAAAGTGTCATGGACATGGTTGTTGCATTCACTGACTAACTTCATGCAGAAACACAAGTCATTATAAGTACAACAGTGTAACCGATCTTAACCCTACTCAATTGTATAAACACTGCCTCCTATCCTGTATATATTCTTGTCAACCATACTCTGTACTTCACTTGCTTGATAACAGTGTTAGAACCTACACCGAAATCATTGATCCTAATTGTAATAAAGAAGTTGTTCGTCCATATGTCTCATCCTTACTCATTACAAATTCAGTTACATATTCTATCATAAACTGCAGATGGCAAAACAACACCAGTAATAACTTTTTTTAGTGCTGCAATTAGGCCATTTACAAAAAGGCCCAGTGAACATAGTTCACAGGAGCTAATGCATTGCACACAACCTGACATGTCATATTGGCGGGGGATGTGAGTATTTCATGCTTGTTTTGAGTTGTCACTGAACATGCTTAATATGCTTCCTAATTCTGTCATATATGTTCTTAGAAATAATTAAATCATTGTGGTGATTAGGGTCAATCATGTAAATTAAGTTATATAATATATTAATAATAATGTTACAGGTGCACTTGTTACTGTGTGGGTATGCAGTCCGTGGCAGAGGAGTGCTGTCTGGATGTCCATCAGTAACAAGCTTGATACATGAACATCTGACTGCAACAGCTGCATCACCACTCACCTTGGCCTCCATGAGGTCTCCCCAAGCCAATACAGTACGTAGGCCTAATGCGATGATTTTGTTTACACCAGTGGACCGATTAAGATGAACCAGAGCTCAAATTTGATATGAAATATTCCCTGAAATCTTTGAATAAATTTTTTGCAAAATGAATGTAATGAATTTTCCAGGAATCAAATACTCAAGAAAAGTGGAAACCTTAGAACCCCACAATCAAGGAAAGGGTAAATCATATTATTCCACAATATTTCAATAAGTATTTAAACCAATAGTAGTAATAAACACACCATGTCAACATGAAAGAAAACCATTCAATGTTTTTGTTATCACTGAATTATTAATATGGTTTATTTAAGAGAAATCATGCTTATTTCATCATTATAAGTTGCTTCTTAAAAATGGATCCCTCCAGATTAAATGCCAAAAATACATATTTAAATGGTATGATATTTTTGTGATGTTTGGTTTTGTGAGACGAATAAATGCCACTTTTTCATTTCAGAATCTGTCTACACCTTGTAAATATTGTTCACTTTGGGGATTTGGAAGAATCAGAGGAAAGTTATTTCATCTTGAGTTGTCCAGGTGATTTGTGAATGATTTCCATCTGATGTATGTACTGTTTTTTCTATATGCTCACTAAAATAAACCTTTTTCATTGAATTCTTGTCTTATGGTCTCTGACAACAATCGGCTTTTGCTGTTTCTTTTCATAAGTTTCTGCAATAAAGGATGGCTGATGAGGGAGGTGTTGGCAACAACTGAGGCCAGGGGAAAGCTTCTGGAGAAAATAGCACAAGCACTGGCTAAATTGCTCAGTGGTAGATTGTCAGTGCATTGGTTGATTATTTCATGAAAATAAACATAATTTGCACACAATGAAAATGGATCTCAACATCAGGAATTTCTTCTGCCACCAGTGGGGCAGGATAATGCTCACCTTTTTGCAAACACCAGGTATCATCACAATATGATAGTGATTCATAAACATGTGTATGATATAGTCAGCATCATATAATTGACTCTGTTTTTGAAAGAGATTTCTTATGAATATGGAAAGGGTTTTGTTGCTTTTATTTTCTTTCATATGATCATTTAGGGACCTGAAAAATAAAACATTTTGTTTTTAATTTGTCTAAATATCATGTACACAGACTGAGTAATTGTAAAAGTAGGTGGTAATGGTCAACAGCTGTGTCAGGCATGTCATGCTTACTTTCAGCCTCACTGGGTGCCTGAATACAAATGTCATCAGTTTACAAAGTACTAATTGTATCAGATTTGTTCTTATGTATGTCATCCACACGATGCTTTTATATGTCATCCACACTACACTTTTACATCAAAAGACAATGACATTACAATATAGAATACAACAGATATACAAAATAGTTCAAAACAGAAATTCCTTGTATATAGTGTTTACATTGTGTGATTATTTATTGTCAAAATAGTATTTTATTACCTCATACTATGTTTCTGGTGTACACTGGGCAGCGACTGTACACCCATGATGTTCTGAGGCTCTTCCAGGTACCTGTAGCTTCTAGGCATCAGTGTCTGGTATGACTTGCTTCAACACTACAAATTTGAAAGATACAACATACAAACATGGACACTTCTGTCATCTATATCTTTCACTATCACAAAATAAAACATGGTAACATTATTAATTTCATATATCAATGTACAATAACTTGTACATGTGTGTAAATTGCATTAAAAATGAAATATGAGGACCAACCTTTTGATATTCTAGGGTGGTGGGTGGGCTGGGATTTTGTACAGAGACTGGATATTTTGTCAGCTACAAACCAGCAAAACTAGATATCTTTTTAAATAAAAAGTATATATAAACCTAAATACATTGTAAACAAAATAAACAACATGTTGCAACGATGTATTTTTGTGGCTTTTTGCGTCTGAAGCATAATAATTATACATGATTATTTAAAGAATGTCAATGAGTTTAAATCATATAAATTTTTTAACTTATCCTGCATTACTCCTTAATGCATTTACTGCTGTTTTCTGACAGAGATGAACTGTGTGAGATCCAGCTGCTGAAGAAAAGTTGTTCCAACCAGTAGAGGCAGCGCCCTCACACAGTCGGCGCGTGACCTGGAACTCATGACTTCACATCAAAACACATAACTGCTTTATCACCTCCACGGAAGGACGTACTTTGTATCCCTTGTGGAAAATAAAGCTTGTTGTTTCTATACTTTGCATGTTTCTGCATTCAGCGTATGCTGCTATATTGTTACCTGTTTATGGTCTGTTACCTTTGGGGTCTTCCCATTCGTAATTTGTAATGTTTATCGCCCGTTTGTGGCTTTAGTCACAGTAATTTACGGGCGTACTGTTGTCTTTTTCCGGCCATTTTTTCAATTCACCACATGACAACGTATTTTCATCTTCCACGTTTTGAATTCTTTATTTGGCTTGGGTAATGCACAAAATTTATTTATTTATATTTTGGCGTGCTTAAAGCTTTGCTTTTTCACTACCTCTTAGTGTAATTGTTCGCTCTCATAAACTTAGAATAAAAAGGTTTTTTTTGAGTTACATTATGCTTCCTGTACTTTGTGCTTTTGCCACATTGTTATGTTTTTGCTTAAAATGTTAATTTTTATATTTTTGTTTGTGCAATGATCAACATAGCCTTTCACCTATTATTAACATTAATGTCTACACAACAGATGTATATATTTGTCACCTACGTAAGTTTTTTCCCCTTTATTTCCAGTTGTCATTTATCATTCAGAATTGTCCGTGAACGATCACATTTCTTCTCTGTATCAAGTTATTGTTTTCTATTCCAGAATGCAATATTTTTTTCTACAGAGCATGCTCAGTACTATGGATGTGACGTCATTTTGTTTATCTATATTAACAAGAAGAGCCTCAGTGTCGTTTAGCTTGTTTCCATTGTTCTCTCAGCTCTCATTACGAATCACCGTCATCCAAGGAAATCTACAACAATCCTTTGCCATCCTGTCGTGTTATGCGGTATAACTGTTTGTATTTATCGTAACAATGGCTGACAGACGATCTAAAGCCAGATCTCAATCAACACGAAGGGTTAACCAGGATACGACCTCTGACCTGAATGAAAACAACAATGGGATGATGGTGGCAAAGCATCTAGCCCAGCTTCCTCTCACAGGAATGTAAACAGAAGCTCCCCATATTTGACAGCAGCTGATATTCAACAATGTCTGACAGACATGGGTGTCAATGTGCCCACTTCCTGGTCCAGACGGACATTAAGGCAGCTCTACAAAAAATCTGAGGGTGATGACGGGAACCTAGGATCTCTCAACCAGCCCACTACCACAGGTTGTTCGTGGCAAGAGTGGCAGCCTTTTCTGAGGAAGGCACCGGCATTAGGTGGGACATACCCGATCAGAGACTATGGACAAGAGTTTCATCTGGCCTCCGATCTCGTGCTTGTAATGTTTGCCATAGCATTACCCACAACACAGAATTGTGTCCCAATGTGGCAGACCCCAACAGATGACCACTTATAAGACCTTGGACTCATAACAACAACAGATCAATCAACAATCATCAGACCTACTCAAGGGGACGTCCACGTGTTATGAATCAGAGACGAGAAGTGTGTAACAATTTTAATGATTTTGGATGTACTCGGCACAACTGCCCATTCTTACATGTTTGTACGAAGTGTCAAGGCACTTCACATCGACAATCCAAATGCCATTGCCACGGCAGTAGCAAAGACAAGAACTGACTACCAGCCCCAGCGACGTCCCAATATCCATTACCACCAATCAATGTTACAAACTTGCAACTTGAACTTTCTTCTCATCCAGACAGGAATTTGTAAATTTTCTGATTCACGGCTTAGAGGATGTATTTTTCCCCATACTAAATTCTTTTCCCCAAGACACTGTTGAATGTAGAAACAACCTGTTGGCACGCAAGGCCCCAGATGTCGTCACTAAGGCAGTGGAAACAGAAGTCACAAGGGGTTATGTGATTGGACCCTTCGGGACACCACCATACAGCGTGTATAGAGTCCGTCCTCTAGGTGTCGCTGAAGGGAAATATTAAAAAAAGAAGAGACTCGTTCTGGACCTATTAGCACCTCATGACAGCGAGTCAGTCCCTAGTATCAATGAACTTATCGATAAAGAGACCTGCTCTCTCCAATATGTGACTATTGACCATGCAATTCGCATTATTAAAACCCAAGGGCAAACACCTTCAAGCAAATTCAGTTGAACCCTACCTGTTGGCCATATTTTGGATTCAAGTGGCTTGATGAGTATTATATCTATACCAGTCGTGCCTTTGGATCTTTGAAAAAGAAAGGGTACCAAGAGAGAACTGTTGTCACTATTGGGACATTTGAATTACACCTGCCGTGTTATTCTGCCTGGGAGGTCATTTGTGTCATACCTCATCCAACTCTCCACAACAGTGACTAATCACGTCAGCTTATCAAAGGAATGTCGGACCGATCTCACCATGTGGAACAAGTTCCTCACAAGCTGGAATGGCATTTCTCTTTTCCATGACAAGTTCAAGAGATTTCAAACCCTGGTTCCACAAGCAGACGTATCACCACATCAGTGCCCACCCAGCTCTCAGGTCATGTGGACTACTACCTCAATCACCTGTGGTCAGCAGCCATCAGCCAAGGTACCAGATCTGCCTACAATACTGGCTTTAACTGCTACATGAACTTCCTCCTGAAGTTTGGTCTTTTCTGCACCCTATCAAGATTCATATTGCCCCCAGATAACGAGAGCTATCTTCAGTATTTCATCGCTCATTGTTTTGGCGTTTGGCATGCTGCAACTGAAACATAACACAGCCAAATCATATCTAGCAGGCATAGCTTCACTTACCTGCAAGCTGGAGTGACAACTCTGTTTGACGAGGCCAGTTCTGGAGCCTTAAACAGACTGCAAGCCTTGATGAGGGGATACATGAAACTGACAGGCAACTTCTTACAGGAAACGCCTTCCTATCACCTATCCTTTATTAAGTAATATCGTGTACCAACTACATGCAGGTGTTTTTGGACCTTATGATGACTTTGTGATGGAATGTATGTGTGTGACAGCCTTCTTTGGCTTCCTTCGATGTGGAGAATTCACCTGCTCTACAAAGTTCGATCACCGAGTTCATATTAGTATGAGCGACACTGAATTTGATCATTATAAGAGAAAATGTGTCCTCATGCTGAAAGCTTCTAAGACCGATCCCTTCCGGAAAGGAGTATCCATTTCCCTGTTTGGCAACAGTACTGTTATTTGTCCATATACTTGCTTGAAGAGACTTCATCACATTCGCACACAGTGCCGAGCCAAGCCTTCAGATCCATTGTTTGTCAAATGCAACCTTGCACCCATCAGCAGAGTTTCTTTCCTGTCCTGGCTGAGCATAGCCTTAGCTAGGACAGGTCTTGATTCCAAAGAGTACTCTGGACATTCTTTCAGAATTGGTGCAGCTACTACGGCTGCCAGTGTGTGTATAGAAGACAACCTCATTAAGACTATGGGCTGTTGGAGTTCAGATTGTTTTACTCGATATATACGGACTCCAGAAGCCACTCTGAGCCAAGCCCAGAGATCGTTGTGTAGAATGTAGACTTGTCATTACTACGGACTCTCGTGTTACTGTGTTACTTTATGCAATCTGTTTATAGCCTACTAGCCCTTAAAGTATAGGAGTCAGCATTCCACTAATTTTTAGGATTATGTGTCATGCCTTTATGTTTGTGTACCATGGTGACTATCTTGTGTTTATACTTTGACTGTAGTCTACTCGATGCCGGACATTATGCTTATAACGCTGTGATGATCATGTGCAGGCTTAGGCCCGTATCCCTCGTACAGACTTTACAGGATTTACGTTGAGACCCTTCATCACACGGCTTCACAAGTCATTCCATGCCCTGCATACTGCATAGGAATGGCTTGTGGCCCACAGAGTACCTTTCTTCCAAATTTTCAGTCCAGGGCCGGCACGGTCTCAGGACTCGTTCATTACCCGTAGGGTAACTATCATTCACTCACTCAGGTTGGCACGGCCCTTACCTTTTCATTTATACCCGCAGGGTTTTTCATTCATACCCGCAGGGTATGTCCTTTTATGTAGCAACCAAGTAGAGGTGGAATTAAGACTGTTTCACCAGATACATCAGAACACCAGAAGAGACATTAAGGAAAGCCCAATGAGCATTATGCTATGAGTGACTCTTTCTTTCACTAGAGGCTTGACCAATGTGTGTGTTGTGACTTCCTGACACTGTTCAATATTGTTCTGTGACATTACCTGGATAATATAACTCATTGGACAGTGTTGGATTCAGTTTTTAATGTATTATATTCAACATTATCGTCTTATATCACTCATTTTATACTTTTCTTATCACTTTGGGGGCTCTCAGTTTTTACCTGGTTTTGGGCTTTGCAAGTTAATCATTCTGTAAACTATCATTATATGGCTTGCGGCCCCCAAAGTATTTTCATTTTCACTCATACCCCCAGGTTATCACCCTTTCTAATGACCCGCAGGGTCTCTAAATTACATTGCCTGCAGGGCAACCTGTGTTTTTTGGAAAGCGCATATTAATGTTCAATAAATCTTTTTTTACACTATGAATCATAAACAACTCTTATTCTTATATTTTTTTAAACTTTGAAGCGTGCAACGTTGATCGTGTTAGGTAGACAGAGCATGTGTACTGTTTTGTTTCTCATCTACCACCTACATCTCAACCTCGGTTAAACCGCTGATCATCTATAACGCTCATAAATTATTTGCACCCCGAAGGTAGCGTTGTAGTAGGGGATCACTGTACCAGTATTGGTTTGAAGATCCTCTTATTGATATTGTCGATCATTTCCTCATCTTGCTAAGTTCTATCCTGCGGTGGGATTGATAGCTTTGACAAAGCGTAAAATGAGATGCAAAGCAAATGAGGCCAAGGTCATTAGAGTGTATGGGTGTTTGCTTGTAGAGCTAATTGACTGGTGACCGCTTCCGGATTGTTAAAAAGTTGTGGTTGAAAAGGTTACCCTACTTCAAACTACGTTGTCATCATAGTACGATGTCCTATGCGAAACCACACAATGTATATTATACCCGATGGCATAACGTTGTGTCCTAAAAGTACTCATGGAAATGAAAAAAACCTCTTTTGATGGATTTAATAATCGACACAAAGCATAACGTAGATGTAAATACGAAATAACAAAACAACTGGAAAAGTACTAGTCTGGATTTGCTAGTTTTATCTCAGTGCTCCATACAAAATGTACTTTACAGGAGGTTATTTGTAGGCACTTTCAACATTCAAAAGTAAAACTAAGTCCAAATTGACATGTCAGAAACAGGCTATAGGCATTATGCAAATTAGCCTTGGAAAAAAAGTTCTCAAAACAACAACAAAAATAACAGCTATGTTTATGTACATAATAATAATGACATGTAAGTTGTTGTTTGAGAAGGGAATATGTTACTTTTACGTTCTGATATTTTGACGATGATTCACTATCCCACAATGCCACTCACAAATCACTAACCACTGACAAATCACATGCACATGGGTTTCAAGCACCTGTTTTCACCTGTCGTCAAGGTGTCATAGGTCATGGACATTCACCTTGATCTACTAACACCTAGTTATGCTCAGTTTCACAATAGTCTGTTTTGTTCATATTTTTACACACTTTTACATGTAAAAAGACATAAAAACCTTTGATACGCTGTATTTGTCCCAAGGCCCAATTAGTACTAACTGATTTATTTAAATATTTATATATTTTGTATATTAACTGCATTTATTTAAACTCTGAGATCGAAAAAACAGGTTTTTTTCATTTCCGTGAGTACTTTAGTAGCGTAAAGGGGTTTTCTCACTCATAGTGCAGTGATCCATCCCTAAAATCACAAGTTTGTCTTCTCACGTGAATGTGTGACAATCTTAGTGATTGAAGCATGTTTAGCACCAGCTTCCTCGTGTAAATCTCATGGTTATAAGACAAAGACAGGCTGGGGTAATCTGCGACCAACCATCCAACCATGGGATAAATGCATAGAGTGATGTAAGATAAGTTTAAAAAATTGTAAATTTTACAGTAAATTGTATATTTATAACAAGTATCCTTAGTCACACGAACTATGCCTGGTGCAAGACCTCATTGACAGGGTGTTCACCATGATGATGCAAGGGGTGTTTGGGCGAATGAAGCTTAGAAGCTGGCAACTTTGTTTTGGGACGTTTCCACACAAAGATCGGAAGAAGAAGGATGAGATTCATAGAGTGAGATAGGATAAGTATTATGAATATACAATTTACTGTAAAATTTACACTATCCTGGGGATATTATAAGATCTTTGTTTATGAGATTTAACCTGACTGGAGATAAATAGGATGACGTCACTGGAGGTTTATAAGTTGACAGCACATATGCTACTTGTTGAACAAAATTTTTGATGCCCTTTTTAACAAAACAAAGGTAGCCTCTTTTTGTTTGACCACGAGTGTGACGTCAAACATTATTTCAATGAAAGTATTTTGTTAGTTGTCCGAGAGTGGAGCGGGGATTTGTAGACTCACAGCTGACCATAGAGGTTCTCTCTGTAAATGGGAGTCTGGATCAGAAAAGGGTTAGAGTTAAGAGTTGATAAGAAGTACGATCAGACTCTTCTATGCATTACCTAGGTATGTGTTGTGCTTAAACAAGTCAGGCTACAGAAAATATCAGAGGACTTCTTGTGTGTAATAGTTAAGAATTCCATCAACAAAAAATCTGGCGTACTTTAAGAGAGCTACGACATCCTCGAAACCAAGGAGTTCAGAGAATCGGTGGCTCTAGGTAGAAGGGCATCGTACCCGACACCTAGGATTACATTATAACCAGTACATTTAGCTGTTCTTCAGGTGCTCCTCATCAGTCCACTAAATATCATCAACTAATTTCACTACCATTGACGAATGGAGGCTTTAGAACCATTATTCCTGTCTCTTCCATAAATTAGCACTTTTGATCGGGAATTCTAATACTTTTTACACCTATGATAGTATGAGGTATCTTTATTCAGAGGAAATGATTAAAGAAGATGTGTGTTGGTTTAAATATGATTTGTAACCAATCAGAAGTGCATTGGTAAAGTTTTCAAATCAATTGATTCATAGCTCCATGCAGTGACATGCATCAGCTGTTGTTATTAGTGAATTTATGAGGGGATATGATCACCACAGCTACCAGATTCTGTTTTGGTTTGATCAGTGCTGCTCGGTAAACCATGTACCATTAATGATCATTCAGTAATTGGAAAAACTCTTTGATTAGTTGCTATTGTCCCACTAAATTGCAAATTTCTTCCATGTGTCAAGGGTTTATTCTTTTACAGCAACTCCTCTACATGGCATAGTGGCTGTAACGACAATGGAAAAATATGAAAACCTTGGTTTAGTTGGAGAAGGGAGCTATGGAATGGTTCTTAAATGTCGTCACAAAGAAAGTGGGCAACTTGTTGCCATCAAGAAGTTCTTGGAAAGTGAAGATGATAAAATGGTGAAGAAGATTGCACTCAGAGAAGTGCGCATGTTAAAAGTAAGTATGGTACACGCTTGTGCTCCTAAGTAATGACCTAATCAGGTAAGGCTAACAAAAATATATTTTTGGTTCTCAGGCACCGCCACATCATCACAAAGTCCGCCGCACGTTTTGTTTTTGTCCATTTTAAATAAAAAGAAAAATCCTTAAATATTCCGCATCTCGAACACATGACGCCAACAGTGAAATGCTACTTTACTTACAAACAATGCGATCCAATATAACTTTAAGTTACTTCCCTTTTCATATGCACTGCTTTACTGCGCATCTCATGTGTTATGGTCATGGCGGCAAAAGGAGTTTGTGTGTTTGTTTTGCTGTTTGCAAATTTGGTCAATGAAAACATGAATTTTGCAATAAAACATTACTAGACATGATGATTTACAAATTCAATGGATATTTGTGTACTGTATGCAGGACAATGTTTCATACGGAGAGGTTAAAATTTACAATTACATGTGTATTTGTCTTTTAAAATAAGCGGGAAATCGATGCTAATTCATATACCCCCATATATAAAGCGAATCGGAATGAAAAAAAGCCGCCTGCCCGCACAATATTTTCAAAAGCTATTGCCTGAGAGCCAATTTTTTTTTTCAGCCTAAGCCATTTAGCAGCCCCATGTAAGGTCTTGTCAGAACTTGTCTCATACTTCTGCCACAATTTGTTTTTGAAACCATACAGTGCTTGGAAGTTTCAGGGATATCATATCAATTGTATACCCTTTATTGCAGTTAGAATTCTTTTTCTATACAGTTATCTGTCATTCTTTAGCATGAGTAAATTAAGAAGATCAGAGCCTGCAAAAACAATTAGAAGAATTTATTAATTGCAGGGCCCCGATAAAAAGACACCGTAAAAGTGGAGGTAAATTTTCTCAAAATTGCATTTTCCTGCAGATCATTAAGCTGTCCGCTTTGTATTTCCTCAATTTTGAGCTGCTGCAATTTGTTTTCTCAACCAGGTACTTATGACAGTATTTGTTTTTGGAATTTGACAAGAACTTGTATCTTAGTCCAGGGTCTCTATCCCACATCAACTTTTGGGTGACATTCATATAAGCTACGGGTCACTGGCGGTCAAAGTATGAAACATGGTTCAAATTTCACAAAATTTTGTTTTGATTCATGAAAAATCAAAGCATTGTCATTCACTCATCGAATAACTTATAGTTTTATAAAGTAAGTACTGGAAGTGTGATATGGTGATTTCATATGTGTAAGCACTGACAAAAGTTTTCATGGAATTACTGATCCCCAGGTTCACAATCTTACTGTCGCATATACATCAGGTGGAAATGGTTAAAGAATCACAATGTACACAACAAGACGGAACAACTTTCCTATGATTCTTCCCCAATTTCTGCCAAATCCAGGTTGTGAACAACTTGTATGCCAGGGGTCGATAGATTCTGAAATGTAAAATGCAGATAGATCCATATAGATGAAGCAACTTCATATACTATATACATATACAACTATATACATACATTTGACATAGGTTTTGAGAACTTTTAAAAATATATGTAATGCTACCATGTTGATAATTCAATAATGAAAAATAACTGTTTTCAAATTTTATCACATTGACATGGTCACTGTTGGTTTGCATACAAATTGAAATACAGTGGACTCATTTCAATATCAATAATGTACTCAAATAACCTTACAAGTTGTTCAAATAACCTGTCCTGTCAATATATATTGGTGGTTCTAGAGATTTTTTTCACTTGTCAGAATTGTTCTTTTACACGACAGATTGGCAACAATTTGAAAGATTGTCTTGAATAAAACAACTGAAGATTTATATTATTGATGAGTGATGATTCAAGTGTTCCTAAAAAAATTGTAATTGGATATTACATAAATCTGCAGGAATGTACTTTTTGAACATGTGTGTTTTAATTACAGATCCATTGTTGTCTGGAAATAAACCAAAAATGAATGATAAATGAAATGAAACTGATTTCAAACACTAAACACATCATTATAGTCGTCTGTTTCAAATCGGGCCAAAATAGCCAAGGAAGAAGATCACTCCAAAGACGAGTAAGAGGAAATCTAGACTTTGTTCAGCTTCAGACAATCCATACCCCGCAACCAGACCAGACGCTTTGGTTCACTCAGATGCAGATCCATGTTGCATGTGTAGATCATGTCAGTCATTGTCAAATCAGTCTCATATTGGGAGCCATAATGGAAGGTTTTCGGGTTCAGGGCGTCATGACTGCATGAGTCTGGGACCTGTGACTCAGCTGATGTTTGGAAGGCCATGTTTAACCGGACATGGACCCAGGGGAGAGTGAGGGATACTTCTACTCCAATGGTTCGTCAGCCATGAACCTAGATGAGAGGCAACCAAGTGATTATGAACCAGGACACTTGTTTCCTGAACTTATTGAGGAACTCTTACCGTCTCATGCCAGATTTTTAAAACTCAACATGCCAACTGATTAGCAGATTTCAAATTTTTAAACTTATCCTATCTCAATCTATGCATTTCTTCTTATTCTTCGATCCTGGTGTGGAAACATCCTTAAACAAAGTTTCCAGCTTCAAAAACACAATCACCCCAACACATCCCATACATCACAAGTCACCTCTGTGATCATGGGTCACACACCACTGTAATCCCATGCGACACGACCCCTGTGATCAGATCACCTGACATATCCAGCAGCCTCATTCTCAATTCTATGGCCTGTTGTCAAGACCTCTCTTGAACAGAGAATTGTTTATTTTGCTTTTTTTAACAAGTTAAATCCAAGAAAACGACGTATTTGTTGTGATTGTCATGGGGTATATGAGATTGCAACACTGAACAGTGTGCTAACTTGTCTGAATCGGATTTCAAAATTTACCTTCACAAGTGTTCTAAACGGTCGGCTGATCGTTGGTTCAAGGCATCTAAGGATTCCGAGCACAGTCTTTCCTCCGCGAAGAAACACAAGCGACTTGTGTTATCTCATGTGACTGTGCCTTCATCTTCTTGCAAGAAAAAAGGAAATAAATCTACTAAATCGGCAACAGTTACATCGCTTTCTGTTGAGGAAGATTTGCTATCGTTTTTGAATGCTGACGTTCCCGCCTTTGAACGGACAAAGGAATATGGGCCTCTTCCGAGCAACGGACATGGTGACATCTTCTGTTGTGGAGAAGATAGTTGATAGGAGGGGAAGTGTGCAACGGATAGTCAACATGAGCTAAATCCTTATCCTCCACAATAGCAAAAAATGTAGAACGCTTGGAGCGATATTGTGGATGTGGCCATCCAAATCTGGGGCCAATGAAATGCAGGACATACCATAGGTTCCAGTGTCTGAGTAGATGAAACGAAGGGGTTGTAACTTGCCCCTACGGCGGCGGAAGGAAGCAAAAGATCCAGATTCGGAACGGAATCTAGATCCCTGACGACGTTGATCCCAAGGAGACCGAGGATGAACCAGAGAAGCACGATGATCTGATGTGATATGATGGTCTCCAGCACTATAGTCCTGATAATTACAAGTAGAAGAGGCAGAACATGGATGGGTCCGGGAGCTACGACGAACATCACCCCTCCGATGTTCCCTTGAATGTCGTCGATCTAAAGAGCAGTGGAAGAATGATGATATTGTGATTGATGATGATCTGTGTGTCAGGCAGTTGAACTCGTACGAACGGTCTATTTCACGATCGGATGACATATCAATGTATCGATGTATCGATGTATCGATGTGTTGATCTGTTGAGATAGCGTTGATGAACAGGAGAGTACCAATAATGGATAAGCACAGTGATCTGACGAGCCGCCGGTCCATTGACCAGTTGATCTGTCGATCCCTTGATAGCTCACGATACAATGAAGGATGACGATACTGTATTGGAAGCTCCGTCGTCTGTCAGTGAACACTGGTTCCTCTTTTTAGATTTTCGTTCACATGGGCTATCGCCATTTTAAGGCACCCCTCTGCTGGCTGTTTAGACTTTCCCAATGTTTGGTCAAGGGAGACACCCATCTTCAAAATATGGGGGGAAGGCTCAGAGGACAGTACAGTCCGGTGGTCAGTTGAAAGCGGGATGACTGTAGGAGACAGTGAGCTGTCACATGCAAGTAGCGTGGTCCGTTCAAAGGCGGGAACGTCAGCATTCAAAAACGATAGCAAATCTTCCTCAACAGAAAGCGATGTAACTGTTGCCGATTTAGTAGATTTATTTCCTTTTTTCTTGCAAGAAGATGAAGGCACAGTCACATGAGATAACACAAGTCGCTTGTGTTTCTTCGCGGAGGAAAGACTGTGCTCGGAATCCTTAGACGCCTTGAACCAACGATCAGCCGACCGTTTAGAACACTTGTGAAGGTAAATTTTGAAATCCGATTCAGACAAGTTAGCACACTGTTCAGTGTTGCAATCTCATATACCTCATGACAATCACAACAAATACGTCGTTTTCTTGGATTTAACTTGTTAAAAAAAGCAAAATGAACAATTCTTTGTTCAAGAGAGGTCTTGACAACAGGCCATAGAATTGAGAATGAGGCTGCTGGATATGTCAGGTGATCTGATCACAGGGGTCGTGTCGCATGGGATTACAGTGGTGTGTGACCCATGATCACAGAGGTGACTTGTGATGTATGGGATGTGTTGGGGTGATTGTGTTTTTGAAGCTGGAAACTTTGTTTAAGGATGTTTCCACACCAGGATCGAAGAATAAGAAGAAATGCATAGATTGAGATAGGATAAGTTTAAAAATTTGAAATCTGCTAATCAGTTGGCATGTTGAGTTTTAAAAATCTGGCATGAGACGGTAAGAGTTCCTCAATAAGTTCAGGAAACAAGTGTCCTGGTTCATAATCACTTGGTTGCCTCTCATCTAGGTTCATGGCTGACGAACCATTGGAGTAGAAGTATCCCTCACTCTCCCCTGGGTCCATGTCCGGTTAAACATGGCCTTCCAAACATCAGCTGAGTCACAGGTCCCAGACTCATGCAGTCATGACGCCCTGAACCCGAAAAC